GCTGAATTCTTGATAATATTAGCCCATGGAGATAACCTCAGCAAGCAGCCTCATTGGGGAGTGTCTGAAAACCATTTAACAGGTTGACCCCAAGTCTTGTGAGTGAAACTGCGTAGACAAAACTGCTTGGAAGCTATTGATGGTCGCACTAGCACATAATTACAAATCAACTTGACCAATCATAAGTAGCCTTGTTTAAGTATTGAACACGCCAGGTTATGTGCTCTCTCCTACAAGATGGAACTAAGGCAAAGCTTAGTACAGTTGCAGTATAAACCAGAGTTTAGCTCTGGGAGTTTTGAAGAAACACGAATGTGCCTGAGCAACTTTCTACAACAGGGATTATCTCCCTAACCTAGTAGACTTCATAGTTTCCCAAGACTAGCAATTACCTATCTTCATCTTGGTCGACCTTCTTCAGATGCCAGTCATCTTCAATTATGTTTTTCGAACTTCAAACCTAACCCTTTATTCAATCCATGAGGACTGGTTGTTCTCAAGTCTATTCAGGGATATTTCATGTTAATCAGTTCTTCTGTAATTTTAGGAATTCATTCTTGTGATGCTGTTTTGCTTATTCTACTGAACCAGATTGTGTAGTGATATATGATGATGCTCATTAAACAAACTGCGAGTTCAAAGAATAACTCTTTAATAAGGGCAGGACAGGTCAAAGCATTGGTGCTAACATCAGTCATAACCAAAATAGAGTCTAAGTGTAGACTGAGAGCTGTAGACAACAGCTTTTATTAATCAAGCCGACAACTAAAAGGAATTCAAGCCCCATAAAAGAACTGTTTCAACTACCGTTCAGTCCACCCAGCCAAAACCCTGTTTGACACTCTTCCCCATTACCAAAATCTAGTATCACACTTCTCATCTTGCCATTAATTGAAGCACATGAATAAACCAGCCTTCAACCGTTTTCATGATTTTTCAATAATGAGGTTACTTTTCAATCATGCTACTTTTGCTGAATCGAGCCACAGCAATTATCCAAGAAGTGGCCTCTAAAACCTAACCAGGTACTCATTCAAGGCGAAATATATGGATTGCACTGCCTGGCCTAAGAATTGAACCCACATCCAGCAGAACATTTAACACTGATTATCCACAAATGAGATCGACTTAAACTTTTAAGAACATTACCAAATATAACCAGCACTTGACGAAGACTGTAGTGTACAACAACTGAAATGTGACCATCACAATCAAGATGTAGATAACAGTCTATAAATCAGATTATAATTATTCAATGAAGTCTGGCACAACAATTCATTAGTGGAGTTTTTGGTGAGATTTAAACTAACTAGTAATCATCTTGCAAGTATCATTATATTGACAAACTTTACCAAGTTTTTAAAAGTAGTAAATTGGACTACATTTGAAAAGCGAATGCTACAAAATTTTCAATTTCCTTTCATCTCAGTTTCCCAACTAAGTTTTTTCTTTTTTTTTTTTTCTTTTTTAAATAGTGGCTGCACAAGTTGCAAGTAATGAAAATCAAAATAGAGTAAGGCTGACCTTTTAAAAGGTCACCCAAATCTGGTGGTAACTGCCTTCAAAAGAGAAACATACAGAACCTAACATTCCAAAAAGTGGGGATTCTGTTTGTGATTTGATTGTAAAACAAAAATGCTCCCCCACTTCAGATCCACTTGTTTGTTAATCCGATAATGAGTATCTATAAGAAGAGTTGCTAGATTGGGCCAAAAGTGGTTAATTGGGCTTGATTTGAAAGCGCAGTGCTGTTACATTTTGAATTGACTTTCTTGGTATTCATAGCCCAAGTTAGCCCAGCAGGCTTTCAAAAGGTAGACCACAAGAAGTTAAATTCAAAATTCAGTAGCACGATGCTTTCAAAAGTTCTTTAATCTGGCAACCATGTAGACTTACATGTTGTCAAAGTTTACGTAATTTGTCTTAGAGAATTATGTAAACAGGTGTGAATGACAGATTCTGTTTATGTTAAAAGATTTATACAATTTATAGGGTCTCTGTAAAAATAAGTTTGACAAATAGTTTAGTTTGACTCCTGTATGCATGTGATAATTTGACATATTTTTAAATATTATATATATATATATATATAAAAAAAAAAAAAAAAAAAAAAAAAAAAAAAAATTACAAAGGAATTCAAGCCTTTCTTTCTTATAAAATGGAATTTTATAAGAAAGAAAGACTATAAAAATTTATAGTTTGTATGAAATAAATATATTGAAGTATGATTTCATTTATGAGACAGAGATTTTGAATATTAAAGAATTCTGGTCCCTCCTCAACTAAAAAAAAAAAAAAAAAACACCAAACATGGAAGACATGGAATCGAAGAACATGCCCAAAGCCTACAAGCCAGCTAGTAGAGACATGTTTGGGCAAACTCTCTCTTTAAAAGTCAGCTAAAGAATTCTCAGGTTGACCCACTTCCTGAAATCTGGTCGGGCCGAGAACTTTTCAGCATGTACACACCTAAAGAAATTAACAGATCTGAAACCACTCGGGGTGGGGGGGGATATCTAAAAGCACAATTCTGTTAAAAGAATTATTAAAATTATATTTGTACATCTATAAGACCTACACTTAGATCTAACAACATTTTTACTTTGTTTATAAATACTTGTACAGTGTAACCCGGATATAAGAGAGTTGTCGGGACCGGAGAAGAAGTCTCTTATATCCGGGTTTGGTCTATTTTGTTTAGGTAAAACAGGCTCTAATTTGGGACCAGAGAAAAACTCTCTTATATCCGGGTCTCTTATATCCGGGTTACACTGTAGTAAAATAAAATCCTTACATTTGCCTTGATAAAGTCCATCAGAAGATGAAATGTGTCAGCTAAAAGCTAAAATAAGTTTTCCTTTTTTATTTATTATATGTATTTTCCTTTTACAGATATATATTTTTAATTATATCTAAAATTTTGCACACATGAATATATTTCTTTTTTTTTTTTTTTGTTATAAACATTATTTCTAATGAGTAGACATGTTTGAGTTGATATCAGTTTATTTTTAATAAATTCAATAAAAAAAAAATTCAAAAACAAAAATATCAACTCAAAAACGTTTACCCACTAAAAATAACAAAAGAAAAAGTGGTTGGAATGCCATTAGTACACAGGGAATGAAATTGAAAGAGAAAACTGAGACTAGAGAGGATTGAGGAAAGGACAAAAGATGAAGAGGTTCAAGAAAACAGAAGATTGTGATTGACATTACATTTAAATTTTTGAAGATTGTAGTTATCAGGGAAATGAGAAAACAGAAGGGAGTTCCACAGGCAGGAAGTGCGAGAAAAGAAACTGTTGGAGTAGAAGTGGCAGTTGCATTTAGCTATTTCAACAGTAAACAGGTGGAACGCAGATGCCTACCTAGTAGCTCGTTTAAATTCATGTAGTCGGGGCCCCAGGGTAAAAAATGCTTGTCAGAGCAGTTGCCATGAAAATATTTGTAGAAAAGACAAAGGGAAGGCATGTTACGTCTGAGAAAGTAACTGGAGTTGAGATGCCAAGTCAAGATCGATTACATTGTATATTCTATCATTATAAATACACAGACATATACCTCCAGATATAAAATGCAATGTGTACTCATAATACATATTTTTATGTGCAACACATCACAGGGGGCACAGATACTACACTGATTCCAGCCAGAGTATAACACTTTCATCCACAATAGAGTCTGCAGATATCCTATAAATCCATACACATAGTCTCATTTTTGACAGGCACTGTGTTAGTGTCTGTGTATGTACACATGTTTTGGTCCATGAAAAGTGAATTATAATATTTACTTTACACTGTTGTTCCTTTTCATTATTATTATTTTTTTTTTTTTTCAGCTTTTGATTATCTGCCAATTAAACACACATTTTAAATTCTGAAACTACAAATGCTTGATGAGGTGCTGAAAAGCTCTCATTCCGATCACATATGTAATTCCCTTCAGCTATGAAATGTATGTACTATTCCACACATTCATCGAGCAGTTAACACAAAATGAAATACTGATTTTGAGAGCCAACACCTTTTCAGCACCCCCTCATATTACAAAAATAATTTTTTTTTTTCAAGTTCATCTAAGTTAGAAACTTGAGTGAACTTAAAAAAATTGTATATTTCAATTAAATTTATTAAATTTTATTAAATTGTATATTTCAATTAAATTTATTAAATTTTATTAAATTGTATATTTCAATTAAATTTATTAAATTGTATATTTCAATTAAATTTATTAAATTTTATAAAATTGTATATTTCAATTAAATTTATTAAATTTTATAAAATTGTATATTTCAATTAAATTTATTAAATTTTATAAAATTGTATATTTCAATTAAATTTATTAAATTGTATATTTCATTATCTGGATTCATTTCTATATTGAATATTATATAAGTAGATATATTATTTGTTAGGTAAGTTATAGTATGTGTGTGTGTTCCACGAAGAGTGAGTTCATATGTATAATTTTAGGTAAAAAGGGTTAAAAAAAAAAAAAAAAAAAAATGGTAAATAATTGCTAACTTATGAGAAAGTACTGAAAAGTTCTTGCTCCGACCAAGATGGCTTCTTTTTTTTTTTCTTTTTTTTTTTAAATAATTATTATTATAATTATTATAATAAGAGAAATATATAAAACTAAAAAGATATTGAAAAAAAACCCAAAAAACTAAAGAGATATTGTAAAAAAACAAAAACAAAAAGATATTGAAAAAAATTAAAAATTTAAATTAATATTGAAAAAATACTGATGTTTGATGTCAGATTTTGGGATGTGGGTTGGGCCGAGAAATTTTCAGCATCCTTTTGTTATTTTTTCAATTTTTTTTTTTTTTAAATAATGACTGTAGGTTTGTACATGCCAAATCAATGATAAAAAAAAAATTATGACTGCTGGTATAGATTTAAAAAGTGTTTTCAAAAAGTCGACATTAAAAATTATCATTTCAGATGGTGCCAGCAACAGACTTGATTTCTGAAGTTTATAAAAAACAACTTAATCTGGAGTATACTTAAATTCATGAAGTTCTTTCAAGGTGAAATTCTTGCCCCTATCAATATAATATCTGAGAGCTTTGGCAATCTTCTGCTTTTCGTGCCATTCATGTGCCCAGTCACTAGAGTCAACTCTCTGTCCAAGCGAGTTGAACCGAACAGGCATCGGACAGCCGTAGTGCTCAAGACTTGCCTGAAACAATTTCTGGGGCTTGCCTTCTTTTAAAAGTCTCAGATTCTCATGTGTCCTTTTACAGACAAAACACTCAAAACCCTCAATGAAGTTTATCCCTCCATCTGATGGGAGACCATCAAGAGGAGCCTCCCACTCACGGTCCCTCATTACCTTTTTCAAATATTTATTGGTGACACCGGTCTTCTTCCAACGAAGATACTGCTCATATTCAGCATCATTGCTATTCAAGAAAAGCAACTGCTTAGCCAAATCCTCAACCGTCTTGAACTCATTGATTAAAATGGCTGATTTGTGGGCAGGGAGGAAATCCTGCAAAGGAAAACCGAGAAAATAAAACATGTAAAAGAAAGAAATATTAAACAAAAAAATAATTTCTTACTATTTTATTGCTAGTATGATAGCATTTTATTATAGTAGCTTTTAATCATTATACCTGGTCATGACATTTATTAGTATTATTAGTTATTCATCTGTTTGAGTTCAATAAACACTTATTATTATAGAGCTACTATAACCATGAAAGTAGCTAACAAGGTGATACCTATTGGTAATTCTGCTAACAAGGTAGCTACTACTACTAATAATAATGATACTAACAACACAGTTACTAGTACTAACACTGTTAACAATGCAGCTGCTAATATTAATGCTGTTCACAATGCGGCTCCTACTAATTCAGCTGCTGCTACTACTACTAATGCTACTAAAAATGTGTCTTTTATTAATGCAGCTGTTGCTACTACTAACGCTGATAAAAATGGGGCTCCTACTAATGCAGCTGCTGCTAGTACTAATGCAGCTAACAATACAATTAAAATAATTCAGATGCTGTTACTACTAATGCTGCTAACAATGTGGCTCCTATTAATGCAGCTGCTGCTACTACTACTAACACTGCTAACATTGTGGCCCCTACTAATGCAGCTAACAATGCAGTAAATACTAATGCAGCTGCTAAAAATGTGGCTCCTATTAATGCAGCTGCTGCTACTACTACTAACGCTGCTAACATTGTAGCTCCTACTAATGCAGCTAACAAAGCAGCTGTGACTACTAACAATGCTAACAATGTGGCTGCTGATAACAACAATGTTGCTGTAACTAATGCTATTAACAATGTTGCTACAACCTTAACAATGTAGCTTTTACTATTACTACTACCAATGATGCTAACAATGCAGCTGCTTCTATTACTAACAAAACAGCATCTGCTGCTACTACTAAAGTGGTTGCTATTAGTAGTAACAATGTGAACAATGCAGCTGCTACAAATTCTAACACTGTTAACAAGATGGTTACTAGTATTACTACTAGCACTTATTATTAATACTACACTTGCTCATAATACTATTCATCATAATAATGCTAATAAACTTTTTTTTTTATCCCAACACTGTTTAAAGTGTCTTTGACTACTAGTGTAAGAGTGTATCAAGCCCATGCATTGACAAAAAAAAACAACAAAAAAATAAAATTAGTAGTAACATAATAATGAAGAGTTTATTGACATGGAGAGTTCCAATAAAAAAATAATTAACAGTAAGATATAGTCAATCTAATAATAAAATAACACTTTAATGGATTGGTTTAAAAATCTCAAAAACCTTCCACTATTAATAAAAAAAGGCCCAAATTACTAAATTTGTAATTATGACAGCTGAAATGACAACTCTAAAAGAATTTTTATATATATATATATATATATATATATATATATATATATATATATATATATATATATATATATATAATTTTATATATTTTAAATTTGACCAGTTTTTAAAGTAACTCCTGAATCCTGAATATATTCTGGTCAGATTATGTGCAGGATTTTTAAGCAGAGGTATTTTTACTCATCAATATCTGATTTTGATCATATTCATAGAATCTGGATACAATAAATATAGCCATACTGGGTTTAGTCAGCCAGATTTGACCAGTTCAACTGGAAACTGGTTAAAGCTACTACTCAGTACCAAAACAAAAAGAGAATAAAGAACATGGCAAAGAATCAAGTAGCAACCAATCTTGTCTTCTTTTTTTTCTTCTTTCACCCCAAGTAAGGCAATAAAGTCACTAAGATGCAAGGGGTTGGTAGGAGTGAAAAAGAATGAGTGAGGAGAAAGGACAATAAAAGAACAAGTTCCATGAAGACAGAAGATGGTGATTGGCATTGCATTTAAATTTTTGAAGAGTGTAGGTTGCAAGGATGCAAGAAAGCTAAACAAAAAATTGCAAGAAGTTAGGGAAAGGAAATTACTAGAAGAGAATATATGTTAAGTTTTACTTGCCAATCTAGTAGCATGCTTAAATTCAAGTTGTCAAGGCATGAAAGAAAGTTCATCCCAAAAATTGCCAGGAAAATATTTGTAGAAAAAAAACACCATGAAGCCATGCCATTGTGTGAGAAATTGTCTGAAGTCGAGACGCCAAGTCAGGCTCGATTACATTACAGACCCATCTTTGAATTTTGTCAAGAATCTCAAGATATACAGCAGGAGCACCAGACCAGATATGACAGCAATATTCAATGCTTGAACAAATGGTAGATTTATAAATGTATAAGATGGAATTTGGCAAGAAGAATTGTCTGTCACAAAACATTGAACTAATTCTCATAGCAGCAAGCCTAGCAATTGAGTCAATATAATCACTCCACTTCATGTCAGTGGAAAATGTGAGCCCAAGAAGGTGCACTGTGTTGCTTTCCTGGAGTTTGGCATCTGCCATGCTGATAGTAAGCAGAAAAGATTATCTGTGGTGATTAGATGAAAGGAGAGAATTGGTGGGGGGGGTTTAAAATTTACACGCCATTTCTTGATCCAGTTAACCATTCATTGGAGGTCATTTTCGAGAGCAGTTGTCAGGTTTACTTGGTAAGATATGCTGCTATCCATTACTCCACCATGCCTCCTCAAGACTAATAGTAAAATAAAAAAAAAGGAAGGGAAAGAAGAACTATGATAAACAAGCCGAATATTGAGCCTTATTGTCAGACCTTGGATCTTAATGGGTAAAGGAGGTAGCAATTAATTCACTTACAGGAATATGTTATCAAGTTTACAATTAGAAGTATACAACAAAGGAAGAAGGTTACATGAAGTTTTTTTTAATGATTTCACCCCAAGCAAGGCGATAATGCAACTAAGGGCACAAAGCGTTACGGGGACTGAAAAAAAATGGGAAGACTTTAGTGAGGAGACACTATTTTCATTATTCGGACTATTGTCCTCATCTTTGTTGCCATATTTATTACATTTTGGCCGTTGTATGCTCCGGCCTTCTTCAAATGTTTGGAATGTCGAACTGAACCCTTTATTTCGCTCACTGGGGGTAGACTGTTCTAGTTCCACGTGCCATGTTTAATGGATGTCAGTTATCGGTTATCTCCTGTTAATTCCCCTCACAAAGTTCTCCACTGCCTTAACCAGGTATTGAACTCACACTCTTTGGGTCCTGTCACTGGATCTAACCAACGCCTTTATCCACTGTGTGCCTTTATCTCCTGTTAATTCCTCTCTCCAAGTTCTCCACTACTTTGGCCATAAAAATCTCCTGAGCCAACCAAGCATAGAAATGAATACAATATGGGAACCAGTAATAAGGAGTGCCAGAGAAAAACAATAATAACAACAAAAAACTGCAATATGAGCTCTGGTAAAAACAGTCGATGATAACAGAAAAAAAATTGCAATATGAGCACTAGTAAAAAACAGTTGCTGAAGACATTAGGTTTATAATACCCAGAAATTCATACACAGATGTCCTCAAGGACACATGGCACAGTGGATAAAGGTGTTAGATCCAGTGACAGGACCCAAAGAGTGAGTTCAATACCCAGTTAAGACCACCTGAAGAAGGCCGGAGCGTACAATGGCCGAAACGTTGTAATAAATATGGTGACAAAGATGAGGACAATAGTCCGAATAATGTAAATAGTGTACATAATACCTCATCTTAGAAATATAGACAGATACTTTACTAAGGAAAATTGAGGAAATGACAATAAAAGAACATGATTCAGGAAGACAATTTAATTGCATTAAAAATTGCAATTTAGTTGCATCTAAAATTTTGAAGATTCCGGCAGGGAAGTATGAAATCAGAAGTAAGTTACACAGCTAAGAATTGCGAGAAAAGAAACTGTTAGAATAGAAGAGACGGTCGCGTCTAGCTAATTCAACAATAAAGCAATGAGACCTAATTGCCAATCTAGTAGTACGCTTAAATTCATGCAGTTGAGGTACAAAGAAAAAAGTCCCACCAGAATAGTTGCCATGAAAATATTTATAGAAAGACAGATGGGAAATTACATCCCTTTGGTGACGTGATGCTATATCAGGGTCGATTACATTACAGACCTTTTTTAATCCAGAATTTCAAGATGTACAGCAGGAGCAGCATACCATATATGGCAGCAGTATTCAATGCAAAGATGAATGATAGATTTATAAATGTATAGGATGGGTCATTATGAGAAAAATTGCTTGAAACAACATAGTAAGCCAACTTTCCCAGCAGAAGATGTAGCAATTGATTCAATATAATCACTTGACTTCATGTCAATGGAAAACGTGAACCCAAGAACATGCAAAGAGTTGCTCTCCTGGAAGTTATCATTGGTCATTCTAGTGACAAGTAGTAGAAATGATTTTCTTTTTCTTTTTTGGAGGCATTATAATTTACAAACCATTCCTTTCTCAATTAACCCTTCTTTGAATTTTCTCAAGAATCTCAAGAATATATAGTCAAAACACCAGACCAGATATGGTAGCAGTATTCAATGCAGAGACGAATTTATAAATGCACAACAGAGATTCTAATGAAAAAATTGTCTAGCATGGTTCAGCAAATCAAATTTCTTATCAGTAGACCTAGAAATTGATTCAATATAATCACTTCCCTTCAAAAATGTGATAGGACTTGTCACAAATGGAAAATTTAAGAAAGCCAAACTACGTATGTTGGCACCAGTTTTTTGTTAGCATTTGTTACAGAAACACCTTTGTTCATGGATTACTTATCAGGTGTTTCATGCTCAGTAAAGATATTATTTAAAATGTGAAAAAGTCCTGCATTTATGTTTTTTTATAAGTAGTGATCATGTTTTGTTTGTACACATACAGAAAGTACAAAACATTATTCTTGCATGAAGTGTTAATTTCACCACTTAAAAATCCGTGTGAGAATTACATGACTAGCACCATTACTTGTATCTGTACGTACACAAAATGTATTAAATTTATATAAAACTACCTTTGGGTATATGTATAAGCTGTGTTATGAAATGTAAAAGAATATCGTGTTTATGCTTGAGTTCCATTTCCAAACTGCCCCATTTTATACAAATTAAATAGCCTATATTCCAAAATCCCCAAAATTCTGAAAACCAAGGCACTTCTGGTTCCAAGAATTTCAGACAAAGGATTCTCAACTTTATATATGTAATCTTTTGTCAGAGTTAAACTAACTTCTTTACAGTATCACATAATATAAATGTTAAGTTTAAGTATTTCAATTCGTGAAGGCTCTTCTAATATATATCAATTCATTTGAACCAGTAACTGCTTATCAAAAGTAGCTTCTGAGAAAAGTGGACTGTATTAAAATGGTATAATTGTCACAACAATTCATCTTTGAATTCAGAAAAAAATTGGGTCTAATTCTTTTAGTGAATTTTTTTTCTCTTTTTTACCCTCGCTATTTGCAAAATGGCATTCTCCAGAACCAGACCATCATGAAGCTGGAGCAGCAGATGCTATTAAAGAGTCCATTAAACATCCGATCATCATGTGGTGGTCAAAGTTTACTGGGCAGAAGTATAAAGAATGTGTGTGTGGGGATGTCACATGTGTATTCACAGAGGACAGGCATTATAAAAACCATCCTAACACAGAGGTAAGATGACAACCTTTTCAGATTTTTTTGTTCTTTTGTCTCATTCTGCATTTATCATTTTAGTTTTTTTATGTTTTTTTTTTATGTCCATCTTTTCAAATGTTTAAGTCTATTATCAGTAAAATTTGTCTAAAGATTAAACTAGAATTTTGAATAATTGAACTCTTTATTTTTTCCTTGTGTGTATGGTGCAGTTTTGAATTCAGGCACATTTAGATGAAGACCAATGAAAGTTCTTTAGTTTAAGATTTTTTTCTATTTAATTTAGGTGCCTCCACTGATTTGCTAAAAAATTAGTATACCATGATGAAAAAAGCCCCAAACTTAATAAAAAAAAAACCAAAGTTTTATCATTAAAATCCTTATGTCATTATTAAGGGGAAAGACCAAAGGATTTTTTGAATACTAAATTAAATTTTTTAACCATTTTTAGAATATTCTAAATTTTGGTTAAACATAATTTTTTTTTCATCATCAGCCAAGTGGGTGGGGGCAAAGATTAGTGTAGGAAATTTTAGCATCTTTTTGTGGTGAAAAATACATTGATTTGCAAATACTTGCAAAAATCAATTAATTGTCAAATTTTAATCAAACTTTCAGGATTTATTCACAAATGAATTATTTTAGAAATAGTTATTTGTTTTTTTTTTTTTTTTTAACATCCACTGATTTAATTTTAGGAAATTTTAACCTGATTAATGTTTCTATTAATTAAAATCAGAATTTCTTGGAGAATTTAAATCAATATCTTTTTGTTAAGCAGGACCACCAGTTACCAAAAATCTGCTCTGAGCTGTAAAATAAAAAATGCAATAAAACTAAAATATTATTTAATTAGAAAAGCTTTTAATTGCTTTTATGAATAAGACATATTATGGACACTATTGTCTCAAGAAAATTTTTTTTTCCACGAATAATGAATTTTTACAAAAGTTGTCTTCATTTATTAAAAAAAATTAGAATAATTTATAAAATTTAAAAATCTTTTAAATTTCTGCATTACTTTGACCCCATTAGGTGATATTGTTATTAAGTAAAAACTATATTTACTAATTATAAATGGAAAAGCTTATTACAATTTAGCAACCACCAAAATTATCAAAAGAATTTTAAATTTTTTTATGTGTATAAATGTGATGATTTTTGTAAATACAGACGTCCATACATGACATTATCAGAAAATAAGAATGATAACTATAGTAAATTTAAAGCCAAAGTACCTAAAATTCAATAAAACATTAGATTACAGAGAAGATCTTCCAAATTTTTAAAGATTACTGGGTAGTTTAAAATATATAAAAATAGGTGCTCACATTATATTCCTCAATTAATGTTTACAGATATATACACCATATAACAAAATTAGATAAACTTCTGTGTCAGTCAAGCTGTCAACACCTTAAGTAAACAGCTACCATCATGTTAAAAAATGCATTTCTGCAATATTTTAAATTTAAAGTAATAATATTTGTTTCCAATCATATTAATTATACTTTAAATCAGCTAATCTTTCTCAAATAAAGTTTCAGAAAAGTATGTTTTATTTTTTAAAGATATTTATAATGTAAGGACAGAAATCAACAATGTTTAGTAATTCCAAAACAAAAATTAATTCCAGTCAATTTAAATTAGTTTTGAAATGCAGTAAAGTATTTAGCTTATTGGAAATATTAGATTTAGTCCATTAGCTTGAAATTAAAATTAAAATAAAAGCTTAAAAGATATTTTTCATTTTTAAAAATTCGGTATTGTGTTTCTGTGGAGGTACCTAAATTAGTTTCTCTACTGTTTGGATCCTTTTTTTTTTATCTTGCTTTATTTGTGTTTTAAGAAATAACACCCATGAACAAAAACTGAGAAAATTCTAAGTTTTACTCTAAGAAAGATAACGAAAGGAAATAAGACAATCTTGACTATTGCAAAGTTACAGAAACATTATTCTTCTGGTCTTGTGCCTGTGACACTGAAGCCATGAAATGGTTAATGTTAAGTATAATCTGGAAGGCCATAAAGTGGTTAATATGGAGTATAAAAAAATGGAAGACATTTTCCCTGGTGATTGGAAGTGAAAAGGGGCCACCTAGGTTGTTTCACCTATACGAATTGGAACAATGTACCAAGAGTTTCTTTCTTTTTTTCAAGAATCCGGTATGCGGTGAAATGAATTGAAATATAATTTTCTCTCTTCTTTGAGAATTTCAGAAAACAAATATTGTTACCAAAGGGAGGGATATGTCTGGGTTATATTTTCGCAGACAAAAATGAATTGGGAAATAATTTTATCTCTCACTCAGAAGATAAATGAGAACAAACCTTTCTTATGGGTCGAATGTATGATTAAGATGGAAGTTAAGAAAACAAGTCCTGTTGGTGGTGGGCAAGAGAGTGGTATGGTTTATATTTTTGATAGAAAGAGATAAGACCAGGGAAATAGAAATGAATCAGAGAATTAAAATTAATGACTAGATTAAAACACTGCCATTTCACCTACATGTTTTAAAAATTAGATTTGACATAAAGAAAGTTATGCCTGCACTGGGAAATAGGCTTAGGTTGAATGCTAAGAGGGAAGAAGGGGGAAGGAGAATTTAGCATCACCTGAATGGAGTGATGGTATGAGATGTAAAGTGAAGCAAGTATGAGGGGAAGAGCAATTCCTTGACTACTCCCAAAGAAGGTGGATAATTCTCCAAATTTGGAAAGTTAAGAAAGCAGAAATATGGGACAAAGACCCCTGGTAGGAATTAATGCGAAAATTGGAGAATCACTCAATCCCCAAAACCTGTTGGTCCCACACTGGTTTGGGGTCAGAATGCATATAAGCAAATAGATTTGAGAGCTTGAGGACTTGTGTTGCAAATTCCAACATCAGTGCCCCAGGAATCAATGTCAGCTGCCACCAGAACTCCTGATTCTGAAGAACTTTGAACCCAGCTCCTCCAGAATTTTGGACAAGGCCCAGTGTCACTATAGAGATTGATGGGAGAAGGGTTAATTTTTATTATACCAAGAACTACATAAACCAACTGAAGATTAAACCAATGATTCTTTCGTTTTTATTTTCGTTTGTGAAGATCTTTCTTCCTTCTGCCAAGCCTCAAAACGATGCTTCGATTACTACAACATTTGATCTTTCACAGAGTGGGTGTGGATCAAAGCAGGCAGTATTGACCAGTGCAGGGTTAGCCCTGTGGCTAACACATCTTAAGATCTTGAGGACTAGACCATTAAATATGGTTACACAATCAGGTGTAAGCAGCGTGAATAGGGGTTATATGCTGACCATTTAATGTCCAGCTATCAATTCAGAATGGTGTTTTTCGCTGCTGCAAGTGACAATTTCATAGCATGGATTAAAAATAAGGGACTTGAATGTTAGCATAGATTCACCAAGTCAACTCAAGTCATCTCTCCCCAGAAGGATATCAGAATCTTTTGTTTTTTATAAACCTGGAAGTGCTCATTTTAATTAATAGGTGGACCAGTTTATTATAAGTGCATTATGCATACTTGAATTTTTGTGTTCAATCCTGGTAACATTGATTATTCAACATTGAAAATATGAATGCATGGGTAAACACAAATCAAAAAGAAGATAACCATATACCAATTTACCTGCACTTTGCTTGAACCAAGAACTACAGGAACTGTTCCGACCATCAGAGGCCTCCATAATTTCTCTGTTATATAATCATCACAGATGCCGTTTTCCATGGAGAAAGCAAACTTGTATCTGGCCACAAGATTCAAGAAATCTTTGTGAAGCATTCCCTTGATAGGATCAATGAGGCTGTAAAAACAAAGAACCAAGAATAGTACACACACACATACACACATATATATATATATAATTATTTGTGGGCCACCAAGAACCACTTCTTGCCACTGTCAAATGGAGAAAAATGGTATGGTTTGGACACATTACAAGGCATGACAGCATGTTTGAAGATGGATTTAGGAGAGACGCCAATGCAAAAACTGGTTGGATAATATCAAACAATGGACAAGTATGACTATACCGGAATTGCTGATGGCTGTCGTTGAAAGACCGTTGTGGAGGGGATTCAATATGTCTTCAGCATTCGGATCCCCTTTACAATTACAAAAGTTGGGGATGATGATGAATATTTATTTATCAGTTAAACATTATTTTTAGTAGCTACTCCTATTTGAGTAGATGCTGTTTAATTATTAAACAGTATTATTTATTTATTTTCCACTACCAGCCTGAATATTTGAGAAATCTTATTACAGAAAAATATGCGCTCTCCGGCAAGATTCAAACCTGAGTTCTCCTAACGGAAACTGTCATTCGATCTGATGTACTTTGACCTCTCAGTTACAGAGTGAGTTGATGACCAAGCAAAGTTTAAAAATGCCTTTAAACACAAGATTTGCTTAAGCACATCAGACCTAACAGCAGTTTCCCCTAGAGAAATTCATGTTCAAATCCTGCTGGAGAGTGCATATTATTTGCTAATAAGATTTCTCGAATATTCCGGCCAGTAGATGAAAATAAATATATTGCTTAATAAAAAAACGGAACCTTTACTCAAATATGAGTATACATTAAAAATAATGTTTCAGTAATAAAAATCTGTCGGATTAATAAATAAAAAAAAAAAAAAAAAAAAAAAAAAAATCCAAATCCATCCTTTTTATTTACATATAATTTGTGTAAAATAGAATCATTTTCTGATACTGGCAAATTGAAAAATTCCCTCCCAGAGAGTACTTTTATTCAGTACAAAAGAGCAATGAGTTTGAATGCTTGGATGGCAGATGAAGGATAAAGAGCAAGCAGGGTGCTACCAGAAAAAACGTGTGTGTGTGTGTGTTCGGGGGGGGGGATGGAATCAGATATTATGTTTTAAAGGTTCCTGATTCCATATCTGATTCTCTTATAAAACAAATATTTTTTTTATATCTATTATCATACTGTAAGCGTTTTTTTAAATTTATGTGCAGTTCATGAATGTTAAGTGGATTTTTAATAGAATCTCAACTCTTTAGAATCATTTTATACCAAAATTGATTTATTTTGGTTAACATTTAGGGAAAAAATTGGACAATCGTTTTTTCTTTTTTTTTTTTTATATATCTTTTCAGATATAATTCAACTAATTAAAGGAATGTTGTCATTCTATTTTAATATTTTCAAATAATTCTTTTAGGCTGTTTGCCTTGGAGAAGATGTGTCTTTTTGAATCAAGATCAATGTATTCAATGAGAAAATGTTTTACCGTATACTGGGTTTGGCATACAGGACACCATTCTGGTTTTTCTTGTTTCAGTAAGAATGAATGTGTAATTTTAGTGTGATCTATTTGTAATCGTGTTATAGTAACCTCTTCCATTCAGGATTTACCATAATGACAGGAGTAAGATTGTATTGAATTTATTTTGTATTTTTTTTTTGCACCTGTTTCTAAATGGTTTTAGATCATTCCCTTACATGCTAATACCCATGGGAAAGGTAAGAATCCTCCTCTTCTTCCCCAGCTAGGGAACAGGCAGGACAGACCGAGTTCTATAGCTTTGAATGGCCACTGGTCTACCGCACAAAGAAATGGCAACCTACTGCGGGAAAAAATCTGCCTCAACAGTCATGTATCACACATGGTACATAACTGACCGATATGGGATTTGGTAATTTTCAAGAACTAGTCTTAATGCCTGTTTAGCACCTTTGTCCGTTCTATCATTGCCCTTAATTCCTACATGGCTAGGAAGCCAGATGAACAATTTTTTTTTTAAAGTAGAGATGGCATGAATTTTTTCCAATATTTTAACTATCAAAGGGTTTTCCAGCTTTTTATTTTTAATAGATAATAATACTGATATGAAATCAGAAATGATGACAAATTGTGAAGATTTTTCTTTGCTGTCATGTACAGTTGGTGTAATGGATAGCCACTCAGAAAGAGAATTTGGAGAGCAAAGTTCAAATTTTTGTTACATTCACTTACACATAAATACCCTTGGGAAAAGTATGAATCCATCTCTTCTCTTCCCAGCTATGGGTTAAATAGTAGAGCAGACTGGGCTCTTTAGACTTGTTTGGCAACCAGTCTAAAATAAAGATAACTCTGAATTCATGTTGGGTGTGGTGCTAGAAACCCCATCCTATAAACTCCTACTTGCTACAGAAACCACAGCAGTAATTTCTTGTGTGGTGAGAGCTATGGCCCTAAGCTTTATGGTGGAGTCTAGGTCACTTGAGGGAGGGAGTAAACTTTTTTTGTTTCGATTTTATATCCATAACTCCCCCCCCACTTTATTTTTTTTCTTCTTTTCTAGTTGTACTTATTTTCTAGAATGAGATCTATAGAATTTTTCCACATATACAGCTTATATAAAAATTTTAGAACCTAATGTCTCGGAAAACAGAGACAGGAAATTACATTTTCTGATTTACTTTGAATATTAATGGCAGCAATGATCTCAGATTAATGGCAGCAATGATCTCAGATTAATGGCAGCAATGATCTCAGATTAATGGCAGCAATGATCTCAGATTAATGACAGCAATGATCTCAGATAGCATTGTCATAAATTAAGGCCAACAGCAGTGGTCTCCAATCTTTTTGCACTACAGACCGATGTCAAGCAAAGCAATTTTTCCATGGACAGGTTGGGGGTACATGTCAGTGTTGGTCATGTGCATCAGAAAACAAATAAAAGACTATGATAGTCAATAAAATATGAAAAAAAAAAAAAAAAAAAAAAAAGTTTTTATTCTTTCTGTGCAACCCAACACCGAATAGTCCACAGGGACTGCTGGCCGCATGGGCTAATTTAGTCTTAGTTAGATCCTAGTTTCACCAGAAGACAGGGAATTCTAAAACCTGCACCTCAACACATATAGCTCTCTAAATGAATAGCTACGGTAAAGGGGTAAAAACTAGAGCAACAAAAAAGAGGAAGTTGGGGAGAGCTATGATTGTTCACATTCTGAAAGGATATGACCCATAAAAGAAGAAGATATTGGAAAAGACTGTGTACAAGGAAAGCAATTATGTAATCCAAATTGCATTCACCAATAGAAAATATATAGACATTACTGCAAAAAGGTCAATGAGAATATTTCATTTTAGGTTTCAATCATTTAAACCTATCAAATAGTAAAGGTAACAAGTTTCCAAAATTGTAAAGAGAAGACTTTTGCCTAAATTCAATCTAGATCAAATACTTGAAATAAATTGCTTACTGTTGAGGTAGATCTTTATTATGAAGACAAGTTCCATAGGAATCAACCTTGATGTATTTCTGTAAAAGGCTAATGTATGTGTCCCGGTCAGAAGGTGTGTCACAGTCACTGTGGACATACATGATGGGTGCCAACTCGTCTAGGTAGCTATTCTTGGTACCAGTTGACAGCAGGTATTGTGTATCCTCCAACCAATCCAAGGTGGGTAAGTGCTGTGTGGTAATGGAGTAATCAGACTCCCTCTTGAATGTGCAGGTGTGGTTAAACATTGTCATTATGTCTGCATGGGAGAAGAGATAATTATTTTTGGGAGACTCCTCATGAAACAGAGCCCACTCATGGTGGGGCTTTCTTGGCAATGGCAGGTCATTGACATTGAAGTCTGACCCATAAAACATAAACACCTGTAAAGAGAAGAAAAGACAAAGATATTAATCAATTGTGCTCAAAAACTTCAGGTTTAAAGAAAAAAAAAAAAAAAAAATATATTAGAAAAAAAAAAAAAAAAGCTTGTATGGTCCTCAATACCAATCTTAACCATAAAGATTTTTCCCCACCATGAACTATACTTGAAAAAAATAATTTCTCTGTAATTTTAAATTTACTGAATCAAGAAAAAAATTATTATTGGCTTTAGAAGTGGATGATATTTTAAAAGTATATATTAATATATACAAATATATTAAAACAAAGGGAAGAATCAAAAGCAAAAAAAAAAAGAAACAATTTAAAAATGCAAAAACAAGAAACAATTCATAAAGCAAAAACAAGAAAATTTAAAAAGGCACAATTTAAAAAAAGAAAAATAATTAAAAAATAGCAAAAGAAACAAAAAAACTAACAAGCAAAAAAAAAAAAAATAAAAAAAAATAAAAAACATTTAGGGAGTGTAATAAATTTTTGCATTTCTGTGCTTTTCCTCATATATATATATATATATATATATATATATATATATATATATATATATATATATATATATAATATTAGGCAACATATATTTTATATATAAAGAAATAATCATACATAGAATCAATCAAGCAATATTAATACTATTGAAATCACTTTGCTAGTAGAACATAATGTATGCATTAAAATACTGTTAATCCATTGAATGATGTGATCCTCATTTATAAAACTGTTGTCAGATGTTTCTAGTGTATATTTTTTAAGTTAAGCGAGTACATTCAAAGACCATGTCTCCATCCTCAGGCTGTAATTTTTTTCCTTTAAAGTTAGAACTTGAAGACGAAATAATTGTTTGTAGACTTTAGCGTTGCAACTTGCATGTTCCGATATTGTACAACCGTCAATAAATAGCACATTCTTAAAAAACATCTTTCGGTCTACAAACATGGTCTTCAAAAGTACTCGCTTAACTTAAAAAATATACACTAGAAACATCTGACAACAGTTTTATAAATAAGGATCACATCGTTCAATGGATTAACAGTATTTTAATGCATACATTATGTTCTACTAGCAAAGTGATTTCACCATTAATCGCATTAACATTGCTGATTGATTCTATGTATGATTATTTCTTATATATATTATATATATATATATATATATATATATATATATAATATATATAAACTGCATACTATTATGAACTAGGAAAAGGACAACATCAGAGGTAGACAGTTATCAATGACATGAGCAGAATTTCAAACTTGAGATTTGTAAATAAAAACAAATTGTCGATAACTCTTTATGTAGCCAGAGATTGAGGTGACACTATATTTATATTATGAACAGAGACCTCATTATAAAATAATTTAAAAAAAAAACAAAAAAACAAAAAAACAAAAAAAAAAAAATTTGTTTCAAATCCATATTATTTTGTTTCTGATAAATTTTGTAGGGAGAGGAAGATCTAATAAATGCTAATCTGCAAATATTATCCCCTCCCAAATGAGCAAACCATTCAAATTAAGTTGTGCTGTCTGATTGAGAGATTATTCTTTATTTCTGATTTCACCTGTGGATCAATGGTCATAGACTGTCATTTCAGTCATTGTGATGAAAGCAAAAGTGAAATTAAGATGAAAGAAATAATGGTTTAGTTTGGTTTGTTTTACATCATATCAACCTCAATGGGTTATTTAAAAAAAGAAATAGTAGTCAAAAGTTAATAATGGTCAACAATGTTTTATTTAGTAATAATCAAAATGAAATAAAATATGACTATTGCTTTATTAATAGTTAAGAATGAAAGTTGTAATGAAAAGCAACTAAAATTAAGATGAAAGAAATACAAGTCAAAAATTAACCATTTTTAACAATGCTTTAAGAAAATGAAAAAATAAAATGATAAATGCAGAATGAGACAAAAGAAAACAAGATATGAAAAGGTTGTCATCTTACCTTTGTGTTAGGATGGTTTTTATAGTGCCTGTCCTCTGTGAATACACATGTGACATCCCCACACACACGTTCTTCATACTTCTGCCCAGTAAACTTTGACCACCACATGATGATCGGATGTTTAATGGACTCTTTAATAGCATCTGCTGCTCCAGCTTCATGATGGTCTGGTTCTGGAGAATGCCATTTTGCAAATAGTTTAGGTAAAAAAGAGAAAAAATTCACTAAAAGAATTAGACCCAATTTTTTTCTGAATTCAAAGATGAATTGTTGTGACAATTATACCATTTTAATACAGTCCACTTAGTTCGGAAGCTACTTTTGATAAGCAGTTACTGGTTCAAATGAATTGATATATATTAGAAGAGCCTTCATGAATTGAAATACTTAAACTTAACATTTATATTATGTGATACTGTAAAGAAGTTAGTTTAATCTGACAAAAGATTACATATATAAAGTTGAGAATCCTTTGTCTGAAATTCTTGGAACCAGAAGTGCCTTTGGTTTTCAGAATTTTGGGGATTTTGGAATATAGGCTATTTAATTTGTATAAAATGGGGCAGTTTGGAAATGGAACTCAAGCATAAACACTATATATTTTTTTACATTTCATAACACAGCTTATACATATACCCAAAGGTAGTTTTATTTAATTTAATACATTTTTGTGTAATACAGATACAAGTAATGGTGCTAGTCATGTAATTTCACACGGATTTTTAAGTGGTGAAATTAACACTTCATGCAAGAATAATGTTTTGTACTTTCTGTACGTGTACAAACAAAACATGATCACTACTTATAAAAAAACATAAATGCAGGACTTTTTCACATTTTAAATAATATCTTTACTGAGCATGAAAGAAGTTAGTTTAACTGTAATGAGTCTTCTCGGACATATACAAACAAACCTCACATCAACAGACTAATAGGGAGCGGGGACGGGTGGGCAGTTAGAGCCAACTGTCTGTAGATGGGAAGGGATTATTTTTTGAGTTATAAAATCACAATAGTGACTACCAGTAGTTATGATCATAATGTAAATACTATAAATATGTATAAATGGCATAAATAAATATATACTTAATAATCAAAATAACAAAAATAATAGATTTTTCACCGCTACTTTCTCATACATGTGCTAATGTATCGTACTTTATATACTGTACACCTGTCTTTGTTTACAATTGAAAAGGCCAGCACTGCCGCCAAACGGTCACTTTGAGAACTAATATGACTCATTCCACTAAGCCTGCAAATTTTGAAATATATCGCTGACAATTTGGAAGTTTTTTTTCTTGCAGATTTCTTATTTTTTTTATTTTGCCTGCAGATTTTGTCCATTGCAACCAAAGTCTGTTAAGTTGGGGTCCGTAGATGAGAGGTTTGTCTGTATATACAATTATATATATATAACTATATATATAATATATATATATTTGAAGCAGGAGGTGGTATAGAGAATTTGTTTTGGGAGGGTGAGATTACTAGAATTTAATGTAAATGAAATGGGTGTTGACACTAAACAGAGGAACTAAATGTAGGGAAGACACTAAATAAAGAAGGGGGGGAGACACAGCAATGGGGTTTTAATGAGCCAAGCGGATTTTATATATATATATGATATAAAGCAGGAGAGGGGGACAATGAGAGGAGAGGGGGGTAGACACACAAGAGAGTAAAGACAAATCTCTCATCAACGGATAATTTGAGAGAGAGCGGGGGATTGACACAGAGAGTGAAAATTTGACACACACACACACACACACGAGAGAGTGAGGCGGGGACACACACACACACACACACATAGATTTAGATTTTTTTTTACACAGACACAAACACAATATACATATACGAGAGAGTGAGGCGGGGGACACACACAAAGAGAGAAGATGAGGCATTTTTTTTCTTTGAGAGAGCATGTGAATTAAAACACATAAATTTATATACTGTCTCTTGGGGGACACACACAAATCAGAGAGAGAGGATTCATAGGGGGACACAAGATTAAAAGAGAGAGGAGGTGGGGGGACACACACAGAGAGAGAGATTCTGAGGGAGGGGGGACACACAAAGAGAGAGAATGACAATAAGAGAGAGTGAGGGGGGGGGAACACATCAAGAGAGAGAGGAGGGGGACACACACACAGAGAGTCAATGGGGACACACACACGAGAGAGAGTTAAAGGGGACACTTACATTAAAAGGAGAAAACATGAAGGGGGGACAAAATAGAAGAGAGAGGAAGGGGGGAGACACACACGAGAACAAATTAAATTTTAATTCTTAAAAATATTTTGGGAAAAAAGTGAATTTCAGAGGGTAGGAGATCGGGGAGTGAAGCAGGCTTTTCAAACTTGGGGTCAAGATTTTGAAGCATAGAGTGTCCTCTGGCACACAATTATTCTGTTCCAGTTTATTAAACATTTATTCAAATTCCTGACAGGATGTTTATTTGAACAGGCAAGCTTGTTTTATAAGTTGAAAAATTCCCACCAGTATCTCTATTTCAAATGGAATTTGTATTTGGTGCAAAAGCATATGCAATCCCACAACAGGTGAAAGAATTTGTATTTGGTGCAAAAGCATATGCACTCCCACAACAGGTGAAAGAATTTGTATTTGGTGCAAAAGCATATGCACTCCCACAACAGGTGAAAGAATTTGTATTTGGTGCAAATATATATGCACTCCCAAAAAAAGGTGAAAGAATTTGTATTTGGTTTAAAAAGCATATATACTCCCACAACAGGTGAAAGAATTTGTATTTGTGCAAAAGCATATGCACTCCCAAACAGAACAAAAAGAAATCATAAAATAAGAGGTGATAGCTGAAGAAAAATAATTAAAGTTTATAGAAAAGAAACAACGTATGAAAGAAATAAAAGCTGAAAATGTAAAAAAAAGCTATTTTCATTACCATCGTGGAGAATAGGTTCATTGATGAAAACTTCATGGTCTTCTGTTGTAAAAATCTGAAAGAAAAAAAAGAAAAAAAAAAAAACTTTCAAAAATAGTTTACAAAGAATATATAAGAATTTATCTTGAAGTGGCAGAGGTACCATTCTACAGGTAGATGGTAAGAATACCATGGACAGAATATGTGCAACAAGGAAGTTTTAAGAAAAATAGGAATGAAAATGAACACTTATAAGAAGAGTTTTATAGCATACCTACAGACGATAATGGGTATGTCCCCATTCACATAAATACAGCAGTAAATACTGTATGCTGGTCTGCAGTTGGAGATTCATTGTGGAATTCACTTGACTCACTTCTAGCAGTTGACTACTTTTTCTACGCATCCCCTGTGAATCTTATATGTGTTGTTCTTGTCCTGAGTATTATCGTTCATTACTAACCTTCATTTGATTATTCTATTCAGTAACCTTCCCTACGTTACAACAAAGAGGCATTTCAAAATTTGAAACTCAAAGGGTAGGTAGATAAAAATAACAACTGAATCAGTGTGTGAATGAATGGCAGAGTGGGTACAAAGAGGGATGGCAAAGTGTTGGCAGGAAGTTGTGAAGAGCCATGCTAAGTCCACATCCTGAAGGGACATGGCACATTAATAGAAATTCAATTACAGGCATTTTACCATGGAGTGGTGATTGGGAAACTTGTCTCACAGAGCATAAGTATTTCAAAACTTACATTAAATAAAAAATATACAAAAAATGTGGTTGGTTCTACACAAGCCTTCGCCACTATAATCAAATCATACGTGTGGATAGTAATGGCTGTTCGGTTTTAAGAACAGAGTTGCTGTACCCTCATACATTCAAAACAGCAGGAGAGTCCAATATATACAGGGTGCGATAGGCAAATTGTCGCTATTTTATATTTTTAATTTCATGTATGTACATTGTTTGTTTTTGTCGACTGCACAGTATAGTAAGGTCAGTCAGGCACCATCTGTGAGAAAAAGAGCTCCATGACACAGTTCACTCCGCCAGAAATTTGGAAACTGCATGCTGTACTGCTTGGCATTCGCACTGGAAGCTCCAATACAAACATTTCAGAGTGTTTGGGTGTCAATCTAAGGACACTGCAGAGAATTCGGAAAGAGTTGGAGGCAATTATGAAAGTACAGCTGCTTGAAAAACTCACTCTGATTGTTCAGATAAGAAAAGAACTTCTAAATTTATTGGTTAGATCCAGGCCATGATTGAAAATGATCCATCAAAATCAATCAGGTCTATAGCCAGGGAGGTAGTGCTGCCTTGGGTCAAGAGGGTGACTGCTGAAAGACCAGATGTCTGTCAGACAATTTCTACAATCACATCATCCCTTACATCTGACCATCCCTTACTGCAACCCCTTTGTTTATTATATGTGGTGCACAGTTGAGCAAGAGATCAACAAAACTCCTTGTAATATCAAAGATGAATTGAAGGCAAGGATTATGGCAGCGTTCACCAACTTAAAGAGACTGTCCAGAAGAGTTGCAGGAAATTCTGAAGTTGTCTGAAGGCCGTAGTTAAAGCCAATGTCGATTTTATTGAATAAATTTAATAATTTAGTATTTCAAGATATTTTTGTGTAATTTTGGTAAATATATCTGTTAAAATGAGACGTCAGTGTTATCTTCATTTTTGTGTAATTTAAACGACAATTTATCCATCGCACCCTGCTGTACATAAATGTTGACCTGATCCTGTTATTACAATGTTTCTACCATTGGGACCTCCTGCCTTCATCAGGCAGACATTGATCCTGATAAGCTTCAAGGAATTTCAAACTGAAACCATTATTTAAATTTGTTCATGTGAGGGATATCTCATCTAGTTCTTATTTAGTACTGCTCAGTTATTGCTCTCCATATTTCCACTGAGTATACTCTACCTGGCCCCAAGATTGAACTCACAACTGCTCATGTCATCTCTTACCACACAGTTATTGCTTTTCCTGTTTCTATGGAGTCCAAGTTTGCTAAAAATGATTATTATTTTATTTTTGTGTAATTTAGATGACAATTTATCCATCACATCCTCTGTGTGTGTGTGTATATATATATATATATATATATATATATATATATATACACACACACACACAAGGTGTAACAACAAAATTGCCCAAATCCTGTAACAGCATGGGATAATTGTTCATCCCACAAAATGTTTAATATCTTAAAAAAAAAAAAAACAAAAAAAAAACACAGTTTCTTTTTCCAAGGTTTTTGGATAAGACATTTAGCCATATTGACACCATTTGTTATAAGAATCACTGAGAAACCCACCCTTTGAGTTATTCAGCTACAAAGAGATTAGGTTAAAATTGTTTTTGTGTTAGGCCCACTGTTTTCCCAACTGAGCAATGGTGAAAGGAAAAAGATCATTCAGGCCTTCAGTAATGGTACCAACATTCATACTCTGGCTTACGTCTTCAAAGTCCATTCAAGAATCAAGAGAATGGTGAATAAGTTTAAAAAAAAAAAAAAAAAAAAAAAAAAAAAAAGAGGAACAGTAGAGAGGAAAACTGGATCAGGAGGTCACAACAGGAAGAGGGATTATCATTTCAACTTAGAGCTAAAGAGATCAATTAGAAAAGATCCAACTCAATTCCTAAGGCATTTGGCAAGTGAGAGAGAAGTTTCAACAATGACAGTCTAACGAGCAGTGAAAAAAGGTTTGAAAAGGAAATGTATGTGTGTGTATATATATATATATATATATATATATATATATATGAACTTTATTTCAATTCTTCATGAGTTTCTGATCCTTAGCTATGATTAATTAATGATGAACATGTCATTTTCGTTTATGATCAATTTCATCACAATTCATCTGTTAAGCTTGAAGAGTAATTATACATTCTTATTGCTCAAAGTAGAGTCCAATAGTGTTATCAAAACCTCAGAGAATTCCAGTAAGATATTAATTAATTCTAAAATACAACAGTTCATGCACCCGGTATGTGTGTGTTGTGCGCGCATACATATTATTATTTTATTGTATTTTTAAAAGTTTAAAAAAAAAAAAATTTTGCATATCATGATCAAAATTATGGATAAATTGCCTGAAGTTTATGTTCTATTCCATTTTTGTTCAAGTACGATCAACAGTATATATATATATATATATATATATATATATATATATATATAAACTTTGTATACATATTAAATACTTTTATACACACTTCAATACATGATCTCTTGTGTTGAAAAATATTTTATTTAATGTCAGTTGTTTTTTTTTTGTATAATAATGGTTCCTACATTTAAAAAAAAAAAAAAAAAAGAAGCTCCATTGCATGGTTTTAAGATCAGTCTATGTACAAAAGATTCTGGTTTCTAGCATGTACTAAAATTAGAATTATCTAAAGATAAATAACTTTTTCTTCAGATTTCTTGCTTTCTTTCTCCATACCATGTGTCATTATAAAGATAACAGATATTTAAAATTAATAAGCAAATTCTGGCCCCTAAACAACATCATACATAATAACAGTGTGACTTTTTCTGTCCATTTCTTTGTTTCTCTGTGCGTAACTTCTGTCACACTAAAGCAAACACATAAAATTAAGCAGTGAATCCTACCCTATAATCATCGTCATATATAATAATGAAACAATGTGACGTCTGTTCTGATTTGAACATCCAACCTGGAGATAAGCAGACAAGTGGCATACCCACCAAGCCAATGTTGACATTACACTAAACAAGATTTTGTCTGCTATATCCCAGCATTTTATTATTTACTCATTTTTTAAAGCTAAGACTCTCATTAATCCAAAGTGACCTAATGTATAAAAACAGTTGCACAGTTAAACTGCAATGAAAAAGACTATCATCAGGTTCAACCAATATGTATCTTACTTGTCCTCATAATACTTTCTTGCTTCCTGCTCCCTTATAACAATTTCACTCAGTAACCCTCTACCTTGAATGGCGCTTGAGCCTGGCCTTGTAATGGGAAAACTAACAATAAAAAAAAATTATTAAAACCCTTACACATTATGTCATTGAGGGATTCAAACTTTCAGCTCTATAAAATACCAGTATGTAACCAACTGCCTATTACACTGATACCACATGGTTCTTGAAAAACACATTAAAAAATTATAAAAATACAATAAAAAATTACACAGACCTTGTCGATTGAACTTAATAAATATTGTTTGGGTTAATAATTACTACCATATATACCCACTTGCTACCCACAACTCAACCATGCCTCCTTGTATATATAAAAGGAGGGGCACCTCGACATGGTGTAATGGTTAGAAAGCTTGTCTTGCTAGATCAATTACGACTGAGTAGTGAGTTCAATTCTCACTGGGTGCCTCATACTTTCGGCCTTGTGCCACATCTAAGCTATGCTTAGAAAATCATTTGGGCACCTCAGTGTGGTGTAATGGTTAACAAGCTTGTCCGGCTGAAGAGATACAACTGAATAGTGAGTTCGATCCTCACTAAGTACTCCATACTTTTGGCCTTGTGCTACATCTAAGCTGTGCTTAGAAAATCAATATATAAAAGGAGGCACGGTGGAGTAGTGGGTCTGAGGGCTCAGAGAGCAGAGTTCGAATTCCAGTCGAATCAATTACATTCACTTACATGCTAATACCCTTGGGAAAGGTATAAATCCTCTTCTTCTCCCTTCAGCTATGGGTAATTAGCAGGACAGACTGGGTTCTATAGTTTTGGATGGCAACTTGTCTAGGAGAAGGACAATACTGAATTCAAAACTTGTGGAAGGTTGTTTGGGGACCTTGTGACACGTAGTGCACCAGGTCTCTGTATTTGACCCTTCAAAAAGTGTGGTTGGTTCGACACAAAGCTTTCACCACTATAAACGAATCATGTGTTGGTGTCTGGGTTGTCGGCTCTTAGGAACTGAGTTGCTAACCCTCATATGTTGAATGTGTCGGGAGAGTCCACTACACACACACAATTCTGGTACATAGTTATTAACTGAATTTTGATCTGAAATTCTCACTGGAAAATGTTGTGATTTATATT